ACATCCCCACTATTATACATAAGTCTATGGTAAGTCCATCGCAACGCTTTTCACATAAGCATACAATTTTATTTTCGCAATAATTTCCATCCCATGGGACTTGTTAACCATTGCTTTTTTACCCGTAATACACTATTGTTCCATTTTTCCATCTTCCACGGCCGTGCAGTTTACTGCTTGCATACAGGACAGTGGTTGGCAGTTCGGGTCGGGAATTCCCTTGCCAGTGCTGTGACTTCACACATGTTATCTAGCAGTTAGATTGTATTTCATGATGGTCAGCTTTCGTTTCCCTTGGTCGGGTAGTGCTGCAGACCAGTAGCTGTCAGGTATTTACATCTCTGAACTGGACCGAGGAAATGCGCACCCCTTATGAGCTCCAATAGGCAGAAGTGTTCGTCTGTGCTTCTCCGGATCAGTAATCGATTGTTGTGTTTTGTATCTAACTGCGATTGGCTGAATAACATGTTAGTTGTTGCGATTAAGTATAAATTAAACGATTATCTGCAATGGATTCATATTAATCAAGGTCCAGCACATAAAATCGATAGTACCACTGTGGCTATAGCGAGCTTTCAATAGCAAGCTGAAATGTGGGGCAGTTTGGTGAACGCCGCTCTATACAAACCGTTTCTGATCGGTGGTCGAGACCGATGACACCTGGCAATAAATGTAGCTACCACTGAGCCTACTTAGCCAATTTTATGGTGGAACTTTTGCCTCTAGGTCCAGGCCAGCCAAGGGTGATAGATAACTGTTTTTAAGTATATAGAAATATTGTACAGCCTCGAATCCCTGCACAACGGTGTTCTAAGTGCATGTGATCCGAAACACAATTCATGCGGTTACATGGTTCCACTTTAACTTCATATATTCGCTGCTCCCTCTTCTCTCGTGCGAGTTTGCTGCAGATTTTGCTGGTCACGTGCGGCACTCCACCGCGTGATTCATGGGTTCGCCGCAAGGACTGCAACCAAACTTTGATGTAATTGACATCATTCTTGATTGGCGGTGTGATATACCAATCTTAGAATATCTAGTTTTGGTTTGGTTGAGGATTTCTTCACGTCTGTACATGCCAGTACGTCAGCAACTTCTTGATTTTATTGAGTACGAGATTCAGGACGTTCTGCGATGCGCAGTTATTAGTAACTAAGTATAGTTCCCATAAAAACGTTTCGCTTTTAAATGGGCTGAATGAAGGAATGAATTATATGGAGCACCTGAGATCAGCTGCCTTTTCCTGTTACGAAAGAAATAAGCTAGCCAACTGCACTTTCGACTAAATGTGCATGGAATGCGAAAGTCCTTCACCGCTTTTTCGATTCATGGGTTCACCGCAAGGACTGCAACCCAACTTTGATGTAATTGACATCATTCTTGATTGGCGGTGTGATATACCAATCTTAGAATATCTAGTTTTGGTTTGGTTGAGGATTTCTTCACGTCTGTACATGCCAGTACGTCAGCAACTTCTTGATTTTATTGAGTACGAGATTCAGGACGCTCTGCGATGCGCAGTTATTAGTAACTAAGTATAGTTCTCATAAAAACGTTTCGCTTTTAAATGGGCTGAATGAAGGAATGAATTATATGGAGCACCTGAGATCAGCTGCCTTTTCCTGGTACGAAAGAAATTAGCTAGCCAACTGCACTTTTGACTAAATGTGCATGGAATGCGAAAGTCATTCGCCGCTTTTTTGATTATTTTGTTTCTATAAGCACCTCTGAATGTGCGTTCATGGTTAAAAAGCAGCCGAATTATCAAGCTAGATGTATTTGAAGTGAACGGAATCGCAATTCATACAGTCGAACATGGTACCTTCTTCACTCCATCATTTCTGCTGCGGTTGAGGCTAGGAAAGACATCGGACGACTGTAATGATCTCCAATATTTCGAGGGCATCCAAGAGGAGGCCATTAATTATCCTGATGTGTAAGGTCGCTCATAACTAGTAGGACATTGTAATGTAAGCAGAATTCGTCAAAACAGCCCCACATTCCCAGAAAGTACTAGATGGCTGTTTTATCCTGTGGAAGCACGTCGGCGAGACGCACCTGCTGAATCCATCAGCATTCAAAATTGTGACCATCAGGAATTTGCATTGCCGAGCAGCATCTCATGCCACTTAGCCACGGTGTACAGCGTCAGCGTTCATAGTTTACAAGCTAACTACGATAAAACGTATCATATCCTCCACTGCTAATCGATTTTAAATATTTCCTTGCCGTTGGAAAGCATCGTGTTATCTTACTTTTCAATGATAAGCATGCTTAAAATGCGCATGGGATTGACGTAGTTGGTACCGGTGTGCAGCTGATACGCGTCCGGATTTTGCAACCTGAGGCATTAGCCAACGTCATGGAACTTACCGAATATATTTGAATATCAGCACCTGGATATGGATTCCATGTTGTTCTTCCATTTGAGCAATGTTTTGCAACATATCCTTCACCAGAATACGCAGAATCATCAGGATAATATTCAAGGATATGTTCAACTACTGACACTGACTTTTGACGTAGCTCTGATGAGGTGTCTTTATCTATGGACGACTTGCTCAGTAAGGATTACTGTCATATTGCTTCCACTAGCTCGTCAGCTGCGAACTAAAATCGTCCTTGACATTTATTCCTCATGTTTCACATATTTGCTTGTTTAGCAATGGTTGAAGGAATCCGGGTTCTTGCTTCTGTTTAACTGACTCGAATGGGCTTGCTTGATCCATTTCCCTGATAGTTAACTCACTGTTCATTAAGAACGGATTGCCCGTACCTTCGTTTATCATATTCAATTAGTTCCAGTTTCATTGGAAAATAACCCAACATTCTCTGGAATCTATCATGTTTTGAAGAAGTGCGGCCAACTGCCAACCACTGGATAGTGAGGAAGAGCTTAGTTGAGGTTGACATACAACGGCTAGTTTCACCCTCTTTGAACTGATCAGATGCGGGTGGCCTGAGTTGGGAGTGGAACTCGGGTTCTAATTGTTAACATTTGACACCTTGCTCACCAGGGCACCGATATCCGTGAGCAAAGCTTGGGTGATGACGGTGTGCGGCCAAAAGTACTAACGCATCTTTAACAGGACTTACAAGTGTTCTCACTGAATAAACACCAGATTAATGCTGTAAATCGCAACTCATTAAGTATATTCCATCAAATATTTGCTTATACCTTTTTAAGTGTATATTTTACCAAGTTGACCGTGCGGACAACCTCGGGGGATCATTGCCATAGACAATGAAATTGTAACAATAATTGCTCAACAGTTTGGCCATTTATGTAGAATACTCGTCAGTACTCCCCAAACACGGAAAACTATCATAGGGTCCCACGCTGGTATGCCTGAACTTCTCATGATATATCAAAGTATAACTTGGAGGACCTGATAGAAACAGTTAAGATTATAGAGGGTCTCAGTGGCATTAAGTCTACCGATCACTTTTAACTAGCTACGGCGGACCACTTGCGGGGACACCAACTGAACCTCATGAAGCAGAGGTGAAGACTGCATATGCGGGCGAACTTTTACACCAGTCGCGTAGTACGTTTTTGGAATTTATTTCCCCTGTGTTAGTGGAATGTAATACCATAGAAGCCTTTCAAAAATGCCTAGAAATGATTTGGACCACTTTGTTTCCTTATTTGCACTGAGATTAGTGGACTCCAATTAGTACCAAATAGCCTGTGGTCAATAGGATATCATGAATAGTTTCATGAACTCTGTATTTGTCTCTGCAGAAGTGAAGAAGCTTGAATGTTGGTGCCGACAGCCTTAGCTTGCCTACAGGCATACGTTACGGGACGCTCGTTTGGCGAACGCCTGCTTCGTCCGCGAAGGCCTGACCTGACCTGACCTGTATAACTAAGCACAAAACATGCTGAAGACAGTGCACCATTTATTGGAAAATAGAGGGGGTCATGCAGACACAAGAGCTTCTACTTCGTTCAATCCCACATACCAATGCAAATCAAATTCATCAAAAGTGCAACTGCAAGAGGCCATTGAATGATGCTGATGGATTAAGGTAATCATCTTTAACGATAGCAAAAATACCGTCATATGTGTGGGACAAATATTCTACGGGAAAACACCGATCATCCCATTATTTATCGTATTACAGAAGCGACTTGACGGTATACTGACTCAGAGGCGTTGTTTATTGTAGATATCAACCTAAAGTTCTTCAAAGTGAATGGACTTACCGACCAGACCGACAGACAGACTGGAATTATGTTTCCTGTGTGCTGGTAGATTACCGGAACGATGTGTAGCCGTTGATGGTAGTTCAGTTGGCATGCAACACTTGTGTTTATTTTCCTTTTCCTTTATGTATTGCGGCACAGTAGCTGGAGTGTTTCCCACCTCTAGCTGACGTGTATAATGATGTTGATGATGGGTGCTGTGATTATAAACACCTGTAGCTGCGGAATTACGCATAATAACCAAGCTGCTTGGTTTTCTTGTAATGTAGAAGGAATAGTCGGTTGGCAGTGCCAAGAATTCGCCACTTTTTCAATGTAACCTCGTTGCTCCACTAGTCATTAAGGTTGCAACACACACAGTTCGGTCGTTTAAATTTTGAAACGAAATTTCACACTAACCACGTATTCTACCGCAGCATTATTGACATTCAAATCTCCCGCGGCACCCGTTTGAATTACGAAGACGTTCCAATTAACGCCTTCCATTTCTTAAGCAAAATTGTCTTCAAACCTTTGGAAAACGGTGTCATGCTTGGCCTCATGCAGCACATTAGTCCTCTTGCTACACGATGACTAAATTAGTAAAAAGATGCGACTAAACCGTGTCTTACACGAAGTCAGTCCAAAAGTTCATCGGTTATCAAAACGGATAATGTCGAACGGTTTCTTCTTTACTTATATGCATACTTCCGCGTTCGGCTGCTGTCAACCGAATAGGTCAAACCAATCTGGTTTACAGCTTCCCTGAAGCAAGCAGTATGCAGATCAATCGTACCGAGTGCATTGAGGTACGTGTTGTGGTCAAAATTATGCAAATCAACGAAGTAGAACCACCTTAAAGGCCGGAGAAGATAAAAGCAACGTGCCTAGCTTTTCGGCATCGAGCAACTACCGTATTCATGCAGCACTCAATACTGTCGCTGATTTTGATTTTTGGCCCCGGCGCCCTTCAATTTCATCCTACAGCTGAATACATTGACCGATGGTGGATGAATTCTGCCAATGTTAATACCGCCGGTGATGATCCACTCGCTAGACGACGACCAAATACTTCGGGAATACCTGGTTTCAAAATGGTAACTAGACGTACTCATGTGGAGTTTGGAGCGTCGAGCAGCAAAGGGCGTTCATCTTCCAACTTGATGCTGATAGACGGAGCAGCAAAAAATGAGGGAACTGTTTTGATCAATCGTGACGGACGCTGGGGAACTGTATGTGACGACAACTGGACGCTGAAGGAGGCCAACGTCGTGTGCAAAATGCTCGGGTTTCCCCACGCACTTCAAGCAACTAGTCGGGACTACTTTTTCTCTCATGGAAGTTGTGAGTTCCCCAAACACATTTTGGATGACATAGCTTAGAAGCATAAGCGAAATTGCACTACTATTTTTGCTCAGTAGTCGAAGGGTTCTATTACCAAGCGGCTTATTATTAGTAATCTCAGTTTTGACCAACTCCTACCGCTTTTATCGAAAATAACCTGAGAATTGTCATCATTAAAAATCTACTTAGACATCTTGGCTACATTATCTACGAACTTCTCACTCCCGGGACTAGTGATGGTGTATCTCAGTCACGTTCTACAACCATCAATCAAGAATAGCAACTGTATCCAGACAGAAAAGCTGGATAGTTGGTGCATTACGAAGGACGCATTCACAACGTTTTCCCTCTTCTACCATTTCATCTAATGAACCCGCCTGATTACAATAGGGATGAAGGCATTAGTACAGGCGTAAATTTCTCTAGGATATATTACAAAACTTCCAATCTACAGGAAAGTGAAATGCCAAAGCAAATGTATTTAACAAACAAATACATCCACAATAAAGCAAGCTAGATTAGACACCATGAGTGCAAATTAGGTCACTTAAGCAGAGAAACTAATCGATAAGTCTACGTGCTTGGTCCGGTTGAGGCGCGGTCAGGTGAAGTGGCGTCAGTGCCATTGTTAGTCGTGTTTATCTGAGGCCAATGCAAGGTTAAAGTATGGACGAGTTTTTCTGTGCACATAGGTACGGGTTATAGAGCTGAATTGCGATCCCCTCTGTTGCCGACAGCAGGCGAAATCTGACTGCCCGTGTGTAACGTCCGGGGACACAGTGGATCGGTGTGAATGCGTCATGTGAATCGATTTGACGGTCGGAGTCAACTAGGTGCGTCAATACTGCACTCGTTACATTCTTCTTCGCGCCGCTGTAGAGCCAAGCTGGGCAATGTTCTCGAACCCTAACGGACATTCGCCTGGTCGTTTTCGCACTACACCTTGTTCGACGAGAGCAAGAGTAATTGTACACACAGGAGGAGGTCTGCGACCGAGGTATCCTTTCTTTAAGTTGTTGGCGCACAATCGGTGTTGAGATGAAGCTTACGTGTAGATTAGCGGCAAAATACGTTCTCTCTGTTGCTAAGGAAAGTCTTCGGGTGGTCTGTTCCACTATCACGTCACTGTTAAATGGTAACGATAACATCCGCTTCTCCGCGGAAACAGGTTTGAGGTTTTATACTCGCGGTTCCATGTGCCTGTGGATGAATTATTCAGGGTATCGATTACGCTCGAGTACGCATCGCATAAAGCTCAGCGCATCTGAAATCGCGTCAGCTGTCCATGTTCTCCTCGCTCTCTCTGTTAGGCAACGGAGGAGGTTTCTCTTTTGACTTACCGGAACAAAACTAGCGAAATGGATGTACTGTCCATTCCAGGTTTCTTTTCTGTGCACTGTCCTCCGCATTGACATGTCTGGTGCCTTGTTGATTTAGATTTCTAAAAATGCCAACGAGTCGTTGCGTTCTAGCCCCATAGTGAAAGGTATGTTACTATGTGCAGTGTTAAACTGGGATGATAGATTATCGACGCACATTCTATTATCCGCAATACAAAATATATCGTCCACATATCGACCATAATAAAACAAGCAGTTGCTGGATTCGTTCAACTGGTTGCACTCCAAGTTGCTCATTAAGACGTCCGCGAGCAACAGTCCTAATGGTGAACCTATTGATACACTGTCTATTTATCGATATAGCGTTCCATAAAACTGAAGCTGAATGTTTCTCGTGCACATGAGTAGAAGATGAACAATTTCTCTTGCTCGTGTCGAGCAAGGAATAGTGGGAAGACAACCAGGCGAATGTCCGTTAGGGCTAGAGAACATTGCCCAGCTTGGCTATACAGCGGCGCGAGGAAGAATATAACGAGTGCAGTGTTGACACACCTAGTAGACTCCGACCATCAAATCAACTCGCATGACGCATTCGCACCAATCTATTGTGTCTCTGGAAGTTACACACGGGCAGTCAGATGTCGCTTACTGTCGGCAGCAGATGCGATCGCAATTCGGCACTATAACCCGGACCTATGTGCACGGAAATCTCGTCCATACATTAACCCTGCCTTCGTCTCAGATCAACACGACTAACAGTGGCACTGACGCCACTTCACCTGACCTCGCCTCAACCAGACCAAGCACGTGGACTTATGGATTAGTTACTCTGCTTAAGTTATCCAATTTGAACCCATTGTGTCTATTCTAGCTTGCTTTAATGCGGTTGTATTAACCTGATGATGAAGCGCCAAAAATAAGCTTGTTTGCTACTTTTTGTTTCTGATGCCGTCTCCAGGAATTATTTCTCAAATGTATGGATATTACTTGGTGCTGCAATTAAGCTAAAGTTTGGGGCAACCTTGCTCATTGGCGCCACCTTAGCTATCCTAGGCTTTACATTACACTTGCTGGAAGGCAATACGGAGTTTGGCTACCCCTGCTTGGTTCCATCGACAGCTTACATCTCCCTTGAGTGGTCACAGCTCCGAATCTGTGGTCAGACGACTTATAAACTAGAAGCTGATGCAGCTGTTTCATGTGTGACAAAGATGGCCAAATCTGCTGACCTACCGAATTTGCCATGGCAATTTTCATTCTACACAGCCAATTGCGTTAATGCCACGCATGACATGGATTCGGATTCCAAAATAATGGCCCACCTACCTAAACCATCCAGCGCGATATGCCAGTATAAGTTGTCCGGATGGTTCTGAGCTTGATACATTGGTCGGGGTGTTCTTTTTGAGTTAAGCTAGCTTTGTCTTCTCTTGCCATGGTCAGAGGACCACAAGGTACATGAGATTTGCAAGATAGCTGGTTCTTTTGGTTAGGACCATCCCATACGGCAAGATTGCAATAGCATCCAACCGATTTGGGAGCATCAAATCAGTTCGCTGACTGTGTAAACCATCATGTTTCTTCGGGCAGCCGTAAGGTAGTCTGGTTCGCTATTAGTAAATTGCGAACGCTACTACCTGAAGCACGTGAAAATGCAGTACGTCTCGAAGAGTAACTGCCCCAATTGGTAGTGTTTGTATGGTTGACTCCTAAACGCTTTATGGTGTTATATACATGGTGAGGAGCACAAAACGATATATTGTAGCTTGACATTTGTGCATACATTTCTCTAAGACATTGGTGGAAGTGATACAGACACACAAATATTTAGAAATCGCCTTCGCACCTTAAATGTCAGCTCGATCGATGTGGTTTGCAAGGGAAGTCGTAGCTCTGGAGACGCGCTGTCTTTTCGCGTTCCTACCATGCAAGACAGTAAAGGCTGAGCCAGTTAGGAATCAGTAATGCGGTCCACCGCCCTCACCCATGGTAAGTCACTGAATAGTAAAAATGAGATGATAACTTCAGATTCATGCTTCTGACGAGGATCAATGAGACGAAATGGTTGTGTACCGGTTTCTAGAAAGTGTGGTGTCTGTCTAACTGAGAATTGCTGCGACGAGTCTTCTTAAAATCGCCGTAAACCCACAAGTTATTCTCTGTGAGGCAAGGAGTATTTTTGGCGTTTGAAACTCGTGGCCATGCTAAAATTGAGGTAGAGCATTTCGTGCATCTGTGGCATGCATTTGGGACGCAAATCTGGTCAAATGAATTGATTATCATACCAAGTCAATTCATGTGGGAGTTATGAACCTTGATCCGTGACCTTTTCAACCGTTTTCACTAACAGCGCGGAATTAGTGAAACCTGACACCGATAGTAGCTTACAATGAACAATGAATTTATACGGGTTAAGAAGCGTTGCTTTACAAGTCCCGTTGGATAGTTGGTGGGGATATCAACAGAACAATAATGGTGATAAGGGTAGTAAAATGGTTAATACTTTAAATATGAAAATAAGCACTTTCGTTTGCTTCGCTGAAGTCCTGCCATTCTCTTAGATTCACAGCACCCACAGTTAACAACAAATAATTCCATGGTAAACTCCAGGTGAAGGATGGAGACGTAGTGTTAAGTGACAAAGTGTAAGTGGATGAGTGCATCGTCCAACCGTCTTTTAAATACTGTTAGTGTCGGGGCAGAGACGACCGATTCTGGGAGAGCATTCTACGGGTGGCAGACACGGATGGAAAAAATTTTCTGGGGCACTCCAGACGACTGTATTGTTCTGCGAGTTTTAATGAGTGGCCCCTCAGGTTTGTATTGCTGCTGAGTTGCAGTAAAGGGTGGCACACATGATGTGGGTCCCGCAGAATCAAGTATGCCATAATCAGGTCGCCTCGTAGTTTGCGATAGCTACCACTGAACAATCCCGGTCGTTGCAGCCTCTCCTGGTAGGAAAGATTGCGCATTCCAATTACGTTCTTAGATGCCGGGTGTTGTGGCTGCTCCAGTGCATTAAGGTCGTGTTTCAGCCATGGATGCCAGGCTTGAATTGTGTATTCGACATGGGGGAGAACATACGCACTGAGCATTTGTCGCAATATGAAGCTGTTTATTTGTCCAAATGTCTATCGGAACAGCCCAACGTGTTGGTTCCCGGTCTTCGAGGCCTTTTCGGATTGTCTGGAGCAACCCAAGTCAACTTGAACCAGGACACCCAAGTCACTTTCGAGAGCTGTTTGTTGTAGTATATTCGTTCAGAGCCGGTATGAGTAGCTTCTCTGATGTCGGATGGAAAACACCTTGCATTCGTAGACGTTGAAATGCAATGAGTTTTGAGTCGACCATTGATACACCCTTATCTAGGTCATTCTGAAGCACTTGTTGGTCGGAGTTCGCCTGGATCCTGCGCCAGATCTTGATATCGTCGGCAAACATTAGGATGTTTGAAGCGATTCCCTGTACAAGCTCATTAATGAACACCGAAAACAAACGTGGACCTAGAACTGAGCCTTGCAAGGAAAGGGTAAGAAGCATAATATGTATGGATGCAACTAAATCAAATATTGTCGCTTGATATTAATGACTATTTTAGAGCGCACATGAAAACATGTTAAACGCACTAAGCTAATGTTACGAAATGATACAGTGCAAAAA